CATAAAGAAAGCAAAACGGTTGTATGCACAAAAAATCAATAATCACTTTACTGACAGCAAGGACACACGAAGTCTGTGGCAAGCTATTCAGACCATCACAGACTACAAGCCCCTGCCACAGGCCTGTGATGATGATTCATGGCAAACCCGAGAGCAGTACGATTTAAAATAGTCTAAATAACAGTATCATGTTTACAAACTAAATGTCTTAACAGACATCTTTAACATCTAACTAAGCTAAGCAGTTGTCCCCACATGTCTCAAGTCCACCACCATCACCCCAGTACCAAAGAAGTCACCTGTGTCCTGCCTGAATGACTATCGTCCCATAGCACTGACCCCAATCATGATGAAGTACTTTGAGAGGTTAGTCATGCACCATATCAAATCCAATCTCCCCAACACACCTGACCCGCTCCAGTTTGCATACCATCCAAACCGCTCCACGGAAGATGCCATTTCCTCCACCCTCCACCTGGCTCTTACCCACCTAGAAAATAAAGACTCCTATGTTAGAATGCTGTTCATCGACTTCAGCTCAGCATTCAACACAATAATCCCACAACACCTCAACTAAACCTGCTGGGCCTAACTACCTCCCTCTGTAATTGGATCCTGGACTTTCTAACTGGAAGACCTCAGTCAGTCCGTGTCGGCCACAACACCTCGAGCACTACCACACTGAGCACAGGTGCCCCACAAGGCTGTGTGCTCAGCCCGCTGCTCTTCACGCTGCTGACCCACGACTGCACTGCCAAGTTCAGCTCCAACCACATCATCAAGTTTGCTGATGACACAACTGTGGTAGGTCTCATCAGCAACAATGATGAAACACCCTACAGAAAGGAAGTGGCACAAGTGGTTGAATGGTGTAGTGCAAACAACCTGTCCCTCAATGTGAGTAAGACAAAAGAGGATGTGATGGACTTCAGGAGAAACTCTGTTGACCACCCCCCAGTGACCATCGACAGCTCGACTGTGGAGAGAGTCAGCAGCACTAAAACATGCATAGAGCGGGATAATACGCAGTGCGTCACACCACGTGAAAGTGAAACCTGAGGGGTGAACTAATTTTCGGCAGCTGAAATTTCGGTGCATCTCTAATTATTGGCGACATCAGAAATGGATATTATATAATAGATGCTTTTTTGAACATTTTAGCAATTTCAAAATATAAAAAAAGGATTTTTTACACGGCACCCCTGCTCTCGACAGACGGCACCCCGGTTGGGAAACACTGATATAAAGTACTTGTATAGTCTGTCTTAGGTAATGCATATGTATAGTCAACTATTTATAATATATGTATAGTTAGATTACCGCTTCAGGTAGTTAGCTATGTAGGTCTGAAAATTGTTCTTACGTCTAGTGTTGTATGTTTATATTTATGTTTTTTTATGTAGCACCGTGGTCCCGAGAGACAAGACATTTTGTTCCACTGTATGTCCACACATGTAGAGGAATTACAATAAAGCTAAACTTAAACTTGAACTTGAACTTGAAGCGTTTAATTGGTTTTGATTATATGGTGTTATAAAGGCTGCATGTGTAATTATAGAGGAATTGGCATAATGCAGTTGAGATGTTTTGAAATGAAGTTGAAAACATGCATTATTTTATAAAATTATTCTTTGTTGCTAATTTTACTTGTCCTACTGAATCTGACAGCACCAACTGCACCCAAGCAGAAACCAGCCGGACCAGAACGGTCAACAGGAAGAGAAAGGCCAAGGTTGACGTAGCGAGCATGCTGGAATCATATGTAGAACAACAGAAGAAACGATATGATGAGTTCATGCAGGCGGAGCAAGCTCATCAGCAACAGGAGAGAGAAACACTGGACTACTGGATGAAAGTACAAATGGATGTGGAGGAGCGCCGGTACCAAGCACAAGGAGAGGAACGGCAGGAAAATAATAGAATGTTCATAATAGTGTTTAACAGAGTGTTTGACATTTTAGCACCTTCGGCACACCAGCAGGTACCCCCACACTTACAACCAAACTCTTTACATCATGTTTACCCAGCTCATGAAAACATAACATACACAAACCTGCATCCTCATGCTCAACAGCACAATTACTCTCATTCAGAAGTGCCCTACCACACTGAGACAACAGACAGGCCATCTCCATCCTATCATTAGTTCAGAGTTTCAGAATAAGTTATTAGGTTGGAATGCAGTTTAATAGGTTATTGTCTTCAGAAACATTTTTTGTTATGCTGTTAAGTCTCTTCATATCCCGATAGCAATCATTAAGTTAAGTGTTTAAATGTATTTATATGTATTTATATATTCTGTGGAAGGTGTATGACCAAGAAATGTTTGTCCAATCAAAACGCTCGGTCCGAACGTTTTAATTGGCTTTCCTACCTGCCTGTCATCATATGTATTTGCATACCTCTGCGCACCCGGTTCGCGCAGTCAGGATCCGTCATCAGCGTGTTCACGTACGCTTTGCAGACATCAACAGCACACAACATCAACATCTTCCTTCCTGGTATTGTAGTACTTTTACTAAATTCAATGGGACGTTCACTTTCATTGCTATCAGGGTAAAGTTAGCATTTTCCAAGATCTCCTACTGCACCTTTAAGTAAGGTTTTCAAAAGAGATTACTTGTGTTTAAGGCGATATGTTACCCGTTTAAGGTGAATTGACATAAGCAGAGTATGAAGTTCTCTGTATGCATACATAAGCAGTATGTATGATTTCTTGTTCTTGTTTTTTCAAGAAAATAGAATCTGGAGTGCTTTCTGTTGAACTTGAGATTTTTGTTGAAATAATATTATAACTGTGCAATTTTACTTTTCATATGGAACAGTGCTTTTCCCTCAAAGTGTTTATCAATGTTTTGATAACTGACTCACTTAAATGTGCCTTTATTTTGTTAAAACTGTTCTAATATTTCAGGAAGACTGCTTATGGCACTTTCAATAATAGTTCCTGACATGTTTCTTGTCTCCCTTTTACGTTTTCATGGACAGATGAACTTATAATTGGAACAAGTTATTGTCAAACAAAACTGCAACACGAGTTGTCAAATACAGAAAAGCTTTCACATTGACATGTTATAGCAGTAAGAATACATTTTTCTAGCATTCATAAATAGTATCCAGTGTTGATTTTACAGATGTCTGTTTTAACTGTATTCCATGCATATAACTTTGTAGAATAGAATTGAATAGAAAATGGAATTAATACAATTGATGGCATAGAAATGAATAGAAAAAATTAATGCAGTCAAACAATTTTAACTTGTGAACTATAAAACAGTTAAAGGAAAGTTAATGTTCTTGAATTCACTCAATCATGTTGATTTGTGTATAACTGAGAGGGAATCGTTTTGTTTTATTACTAGCATATCTTGTCAAAAAATGTAACCCACGATTACAGACTTGAAAAATAAGAACATAGGGCATCTCTAATTGAGTTGGCAGGGTTGTTTGACAAAGTCATTTGATTCATTGGACTCATTAACTCCATCATTGTCCTCATCATAGTCCTCATTGTGAATTTCACAGAAATTGTGTAGCACACAACAGGCAACAATGGTAGTGCTTCTGTTTTTGATGTTACAATCATACCTTTTCATCAAACACCACCATCTCCCCTTGAGACGGCCAAAAGCCCTCTCGATGGTCATCCGTGCCTCGCTTAGCCTGTGATTGAAGACTGCCTGTGCCGGTGTTGTTCCTGTGTTTTCTGCATATGGTTTCATTAACCATTTGAGAACAGGATAAGCTGCATCCTCTATTAACACTACAGGCACATCAACATCATTAAATCTTTCTGTGAGGTTTGGGAAAAGTGTGCCACTCTGGCCCCTCTGGTGAAGCGATGAATTTCCAAACACCCTGGCGTCATGAACTTTGCCTGGCCAGCCTACATTAATGTCCCAGAATCTAATTCGGTGGTCTACTACACCTTGAAGTATGACTGAATACAAACCTTTACACCTTTATAATAATCTGCAGGGCTGTCAGGTGGGCATAAAATACCAATGTGGGTGCCATCAATGGCCCCACCACACTGTGGGAAACCCCAACGGTCACGAAAACCTTGAATGGGCTGAGAGACGAGAGCCAATCATGATTTTGTCTGAGCTATGAATAAAACTTAAAAATTACATAATTTATATTTTCTCATTTTATTTGTATTATCTTGTTATTTTAGTTGATAGAATAAGTAAGTTTTGAGCTAAATTAATTTCTATGATATTTAAGCCCCATCCTCGCGAGCGGCGACTCATCATGATTCTTAACTTGTCGCGATAGGCCACATAAGAGGACTCTTTTCATTATTTTCCCGCTTTAGCAAGTAAACTGAATAATGGAAATTCGTTGTATTTTTTTAATAAACCTGCGAATAAAAATGTGGTGGATTGAGTCACTGCTGGCTGAATTGGACAGGCGATTTTCACATGGAGCGTTGGCCTCGAGTGTGGCGTGTGACGCAGTATTCAGTTGTGAGAAAAACGGCATCAAGGCTGTTTTTCTTTTGCTGTAAACAAAACTTGGTTCTCGTGAGACTAGCATATACTCACCGGAGCTTATGCTATGCCTACGTACTACATCATCCGCTGGAATGCCACTCTCTAGTGCAGAGGCGAACCAAGATGAAGTGGGGGCCCCAGGCAAAATTAATAGATTTTTTCTGAGTCCCCTTGCACGATGCTCCAGTAAAGCTACCAGTATCGTGAAAGACCCCACCCATCCCTCCCACAGTCTCTTCCAGCTCTTGCCATCAGGAAGATGGTACCGGAGCATCAGGGCCCACTCTGCAAGACTGCAGCCCTCAATTCCAATCACCTCACCCCCCTCTGAATCCTCATCCACAACCCTACCTCCTGAAACCAGGATCCTCTCTCCCACCCCCATCACATGAAAACAGTTGAAAACCTCAAGGAACATTGTGCAATTCTGAGTGTGCTACACACAGGTGAGTGGGCCGGACAAACCACCTGTAGAAAAACACATTCTTTTCTCTCTATATGCACCAGACACCTTCTTATAAACACTCCATGTTACAAGGACTTAATAAGATAATACAAATGTTTACTTGTGAATGCACCACAAATCATACTGCACTACTTGCTTCTTAACCTTAAATACCTCTTTTGCACAATATCATACACAGTTATTATGTAAAGTACTTGTATAGTCTGTCTTAGGTTATGTATATGTATAGTCAACTATTTGTAGTATATGTATAGTTAGATTACCACTTTCAGTAAGTTAGTTATGTCCTGTATATGTTAAAAAATTGTTCTTACGTCTAGTGTTGTAAGTTTATATTTATGTTTATTTATGTAGCACTGTGGTACTGCCTACTAAGCATGTACGCAAGCCTTAAGATTCACCCTCAGCTTGTGACAGCTGAAATGGATCTTGTGAAATGTGCGCTCACATCGCCGATCACTCTTGAGAAACTTAAAGATGAAGTTGGCTACGGATTGTCAAAAAATGTAACCCACGATTACAGACTTGAAAAATAAGAACATAGGGCATCTCTAATTGAGTTGGCAGGGTTGTTTGACAAAGTCATTTGATTCATTGGACTCATTAACTCCATCATTGTCCTCATCATAGTCCTCATTGTGAATTTCACAGAAATTGTGTAGCACACAACAGGCAACAATGGTAGTGCTTCTGTTTTTGATGTTACAATCATACCTTTTCATCAAACACCACCATCTCCCCTTGAGACGGCCAAAAGCCCTCTCGATGGTCATCCGTGCCTCGCTTAGCCTGTGATTGAAGACTGCCTGTGCCGGTGTTGTTCCTGTGTTTTCTGCATATGGTTTCATTAACCATTTGAGAACAGGATAAGCTGCATCCTCTATTAACACTACAGGCACATCAACATCATTAAATCTTTCTGTGAGGTTTGGGAAAAGTGTGCCACTCTGGCCCCTCTGGTGAAGCGATGAATTTCCAAACACCCTGGCGTCATGAACTTTGCCTGGCCAGCCTACATTAATGTCCCAGAATCTAATTCGGTGGTCTACTACACCTTGAAGTATGACTGAATACAAACCTTTACACCTTTATAATAATCTGCAGGGCTGTCAGGTGGGCATAAAATACCAATGTGGGTGCCATCAATGGCCCCACCACACTGTGGGAAACCCCAACGGTCACGAAAACCTTGAATGGGCTGAGAGACGAGAGCCAATCATGATTTTGTCTGAGCTATGAATAAAACTTAAAAATTACATAATTTATATTTTCTCATTTTATTTGTATTATCTTGTTATTTTAGTTGATAGAATAAGTAAGTTTTGAGCTAAATTAATTTCTATGATATTTAAGCCCCATCCTCGCGAGCGGCGACTCATCATGATTCTTAACTTGTCGCGATAGGCCACATAAGAGGACTCTTTTCATTATTTTCCCGCTTTAGCAAGTAAACTGAATAATGGAAATTCGTTGTATTTTTTTAATAAACCTGCGAATAAAAATGTGGTGGATTGAGTCACTGCTGGCTGAATTGGACAGGCGATTTTCACATGGAGCGTTGGCCTCGAGTGTGGCGTGTGACGCAGTATTCAGTTGTGAGAAAAACGGCATCAGTCCTCTACTAAGCATGTACGCAAGCCTTAAGATTCACCCTCAGCTTGTGACAGCTGAAATGGATCTTGTGAAATGTGCGCTCACATCGCCGATCACTCTTGAGAAACTTAAAGATGAAGTTGGCTACGGAAGGACAAATATCCAAACTTTTTCAGACTACTGCAGCTTGCACTAATGCTGCCCATTGGTTCGGCTTAGAGCCCTGCACGGGCCTCAAAAGCCCGGCCCGTGTCCGAGCCTGTCTTTTTTTCCCTTCTCCCATAACAGCTTATACTACTGTTTCAGCTATTAAAATGGTTCAGTTTTGTTATGTAATGGCAAAGTGATTATATTTCGTTTAGTTTTTGTTTTTTAAAGTAACGACCAAGTGAGCCTATGTTTGATCAATTTTGCCTTCTCAAATCATCACGACTTGCCTAAAATAAAATCTATAGATATAGCACAGTTCAAGCATATAACTATGGCTGCGTCCGAAATGGCATACTTCCCTACTATATAGTAGGCAAAAACCAGTAGGCGAGCAAATGAGTATGTTTGAATTCTCAGTGTTCATAAAAGAGTAGGCAAAAATTGCACAAATTCTCGCAAGATTCGGACGTACGTATACTTAATTTGCGTTCTAATATGCCTACTTACCTACTATATAGTAGGAGAAAACAGTATGTGAAGAGATTAGTATGTCCGAAACCTCAGTATTCATAAAAGAGTAGGCGAGAAATCCCCGGATGTCCTACTGCTTCTGCCCAGATTCTGAAGTGTTCATCGATGGACACTTTTCTCCCAGAAGCCCACGCGAGAGGATACGTCATCATCGAACAGGGTGGAGAACACCGACGCGGGTGTTTACAAATATGAGTATTAGAAATCAGAAACACGCATTTGTTGAGCTACTGTATAGTAAACTGTTGATTTGCTTAAGGTGAAAAGATGCTAGACAGTAACGTTACAGTATACTTGTGATTTTTCTGTAAAAACATGTTTTATTATGTATAGTGAACAGCGGAGCTCCAGTAAACACACACACGTCTCCAAAGTGAATTTACATAAACCATATACATCTTAATGACGATTACTAAATGTCTCCCTTCAGACAGGAAAATATTCTAAAAGAATAAAGAAAACACACACACACACAAGGATCGAACAGCGTGGATCTGAGTAAATAATGACTGAATTTATATGTTTTGGTGAACTAACCCTTTAAAGCCCCAAATAGAAATTGTATGAAATATATGTAAGCATTTATATTATAGTAGTACCTTGAAGAAATAAATCTAAAGAAATAAGCAGTATTGGGCATTTGTGCCAAAGGCACAAAAAAAGCATTTACATTTTAATTAAATTTGTTTAATTTACATTTCTGCATTTGGCAGACACTTTTATCCGAAGTGACTTACAGTGCTCTTATTACAGGGACCCCAATCCCCCAGCAGCCACCTGGAGTAAAGAGCCTTGCTGAAGGACACATCAGTGGTGACGACTGCAGAGATCGAACCAGCAACCTTCTGCTTACCAGCTCAGTGCTTTAGCCCACTACATCGAGCCCACTACACCACAAAAATAATGTAGCAATAACAAAAATTAGCATGGAATTGTAAACATGAAATGGAATGCAGATGTTTTACTCTGTGTAAATGTTTTACAGGTAGTCGTGCTCATGGAGAGCAGGCACACAGATGTTTGGAGCAGATGCAGCGATAGGCAGATCATGTTCTCCTGCTCTTGTTCAGGGTTGTGTGGTTCAGGGGCGTCATCATGGTCTTCCTCATCCTCTCTGTGCACTCAGGCAACGATAGCCTCGATGTCATAAAGCTGCAGAACTGGCACAGCTGTGTTGAGATGCAGTAGATGTGGGTTCACAGCATGTAAATACATGTTTGTTAGAAAAATATGTTTGAATAAAGCTTTGTTTCATGTGTTGTTAACTTGAATTTATTTATTGTCATGGTTACTTTTAATAATTCTTTTACTTAATGCGAGATCGCTTTGCAATAAGACGTTTATTTTGATGGATTTTTTTACTTCAAAATCATTGGATGTTCTATTTGTGACTGAGACGTGGCTATCCTCTGGCGATCTAAGTCCTTTTGCTGACCTGGCTCCCTTGGACTGTAAATTTATTAACTCTCCGCGAGTTTCGGGCAGGGGCGGAGGTCTAGCCTCAGTTTTTAAAAACAGCTTGCTCTGTCGACCTGTAGCGTTTGAACACTTCTCTAGTTTTGAATTGCAAGCCTTTAAATTGGATTTAGTGGAGCCAGTGTTGTGTGTGCTGGTTTATCGGCCACCCAAATTTAATAAAGACTTCATTCATGACTTTTCTAAACTCATAGGGGGACATTTTATTGAAATTGTATAAGTTTTTCATTGTGGGGGATTTTAATATTCATGTGTGCTGTCCAGCTGACCCCCTGGTGAAAGACTTTTTGAATCTTATTGACTCTTTTAATCTTGAACAGTCTGTAAAGGTTCCTACACATGAATATGGACATACATTGGATTTAGTTTTATCTTATGGTATTTCTCTCTATGGAGAGAAACCATATCTTCTATGGTATTAGTTTTATCTTATGAGGTTTCTCTCCCATGTCGGTCTGTTAGATCTTGCCCACCGCCACGTTTGTGTCTTATTAGTGAGTTTTCAAGGGCATTTTTGAAAAATCATAATATTTCTACCTTTGAAAATCCTCCATTATATCTGGATCCTGAGCCCGTACTGTGTTCTTTCACCCGCTTCGAATGTTATCACTCGATTGAATGGGCGTTATCAGTAGTTGAATGTGACTAGTGACTGTGGCCCTTGGCAATGGTTTTCATGTTTTTTATGCTCATCAAACTATTCTCTAATTAAATTCTATGTATATAAATCCTGCGAATTACATTCCTTCATTGATACTGCTGTGTGATTAATTATTTTTCTCCAGTAATGCAGGAACGGCCAATTATTTGTTATGCTCATGCTACACAAGTGTTTTTTTTTTCCTAAAAATATCAATCAGATGCAGCACAATGCAACCCCACTGACATGGCAGAGGGAATGTCAGAGCACATGGATACAGAGGGTACGCCGAGTTGTTTTTATTTTATCTTTAAATAAATATATAACATTAAACTTAAGAAGCATAGTTTACTAGATATGTAACTGTGGTCATTACACAGCACATTTGACCACTGTACACATTATTGAAATACTAAAATTAAATCAAAAGATGAAATTTTCACCTTTGTGTGATGGTTAAATGTCTTCAAATCAACAGACACCGCAGATGGCATCCAGACAAAGTCGGTGGAAGAAATGTTAGAGGCCATGTGTGAAAATGGTATTTCTTGTAATCGTAATACATTTTTCCAAATGCTACAAATCAGTTTTTGGTATTGCTTAAGTTCGAGCTTAATTAAAACTAGTGTTCTGAGAAGTCTGCCATTGACATTTGACACAAAGAGAAAAGCTCACTTGTTTGAAAATGACTATTTATGAATACAATATTTATCCAG